TTAACAAAGTGACTGCAGTTTCATTTTTCTCTGGGCCCCATAAATTATATAGGTGGTCTTGACATTTGTTACAAGTTGAATTTCCCAGGAAGGAGATTCTGAGATGGAGATTAGCAGAGAGGAGGTTTATTGGGATTGCTTTTGGTATCACCTCTTGTGAAAGTGAAAGGAAGGAAAAATATTGAGCAAGGAAGGAGCTGATATTCTGATATAAGCAAAGGGAGGAGCTAAGTTCTGATGTGGTCTTGAAGGAGACCTCAATAATTCCATAAAAAATTGATGATAGGATGATGTTTCACAGTTGTCCCAAACTGAGGCAAGGGAGCCAGGCAATTATAAAACTATGTTACCCAGTCACCGGATGTAGGACTTCCCAAGAAGGGAACATGGCGTTGGGAGAGCTGAATCTCTTTTCAGCCAAGGAAATTCCAAAGGCAGCCTGCAGCTGAGGGCTGTCTCTCAGCAGCCTGGGGAATGTTGGCAGTGCACCACAGCATTCACTTCGACTATCCACTCAACAATTTAGCCCGTAGGTCTTTTTCAAATGCCATTCATCCAATAAGCTCAAAACATTCCTTGGCACTGTGTCATTGCAGGGACCTGCTTTATATTAGAAATCTTCATGTCCACGTCCTCCCACAGCTGCTGTGGGTGAGTTGATGTATGTTTACCATATAACTTCCTTTTCTGGGGACAAGGCAGACTAAAATTTCCTTGTATTTAGGTTGCAACTGAGTCCTTGTCAATAGAAGTATAAGTGGCTATAATGTGCTACTTCCCATCTGAGACAGTTAAGTGTGGATATGGGTGCTTCCTACTTTTTAATTTTTTCTCCATTGATTGTCTGTAAAGATCTCCAGCACTGGGCAGAGTTACAAGATAGAAGCAGCTCACGACTTATCTCCTTTGGAGGAAAGCTTTGAAAGAGAACTGCCTTTACCATATTGGACTATGATGAAAGTGACTGAAGCACTGCTCTTCTACTTTAAATCAAACCAAATCAAAACAACTCCATGATATCCTCCAGGAAACTTTGGGCTTTTAATTTCTGCTTGTATTTCCCCAAAGCTGTCGGTTCCACTTGGCCGTCTGCCTTCCCAAGCCAGTCTGCAAATAATAGTTGATAAAAAGCAGTCTTTCATCTACACCTTTATTTGCTTTGCACATTTTTCTCCTGCTGTGTTCTCTTAGCAAAACCCAGCTCAAGAGCAATTCAGCAACCCATTTTTTCGACTCCAAGGCCAGAATGGCTATGGATTGCAGGAAACAATCGTACCATTTATCTGACTAACATCACTAAAAAGTCATTATTTTAATTTTCAGTGGGGTCTTTAACATTGCCTGGAAGTCCTGGGTCAGAATGCTCCTCAGTTACCTCAAAAAACTTTCCCCAGTTTACCCCTTTACTACTATATACTACTGAGTAGTAGTATGCTCTCTACTCAGTCCCTATCCCAGTCAATCTTAGAAACCTTGCTTTCTTTTCAGAAAAAGAAAATACTCTATGAAGAATCTTCCTCTGACTTCCTTCATCTATAAACTTTTGAGCCATACTTAAGATAGACATGGAGCAGAAGGCATGATTTTGCCCCTTTAAATTTTTCTCCTTTGTGTTTTGAAACTAAATTACAAATTAAGCTTGACTTTGGGTTCCCATTCACCAGGGTTGTGAAAACTTCAATTATATCTTTGTCCTGAGGTTGATTGAGGATCCTAGGAACTTGTGTAGGGCCTGGCCCCTTGGAACTTCATCTGCTGTGGTTGCTGTTGATACTTCAGGGTCCAAACCTGAAGCCTGGCAGCCCCATTATTTTGTTTCTACGTTCGGCTTGTACTCTGAGAGGAGGAGTACTTCTCTGCCTGATGTCCAGCATCCCTAGATGGGCCACATCTCATTCTCCTCTGAGTTTCAGCCATCTCCGGAGATGCTTTCAAAGACTGGGTAGTGGGGAGTGGGTGGCAGTGGTAGTGGGGAGCGTCATCTAGATTTCTCTCCAGACAAGCCAATGCCTTCATGCCTCCCAAGCTGAGGAAAATTCCATCACCATTCTTCTCTATTTCAGCCTCTTAAAATTACTCAGCCTGTCTCCCTACTTGCCAAAGAAATGACCTAGTATTGACTCTCTCAGTGCATTTCAACTTTCAAACAACAAAAACCTAGGGCAGTCTGTCTTCAATAGACTTCTGCTTTCTGCTTTCTCTATGCAAGTGTCCCTAAGAAAGAGAACACAAATTCTCAGTCACATCATTGGAGAGAAAAATAAGATCAGATTTAAAATTCATAAATTTGTCACTTATTTTGCCATACTTAATTGCATTTGTCTCCTTCCTCTCTTTCTTTAGGCTTAAGACAATTTCTTAAACTTTAACTGTATCTTTTTCCTTTCTTCTCCTCTGAAATCTAATAGGAAATGTCTTTTCTTTTTACAGCATCTTCACTCTTTCTCTCTCTTTTTCCCTCACCCTGGAAACATGCTCTAGTCTCTCCTTGTCTAAAAATTGTCCTTCAATCCCATGTCTCTCTTGAGGCTTTCCACTTTTCTTTTATAACCAAACATTCTCAGAGCCAGTTTTCACTTCCTTGCCTTGCATTCACTTCTCAAAACCCAGTTATCTGCCCTCTGACCATAATTCACTGAAAGCACATCTGCAAAAATGACCTGTGACTTCCAGTTGCCAATGCCAGTAAAACAAACAAACAAGCAAATAAATGAACTTAATTCTTATTTCACTAGACCATCTTAATACCTTTTAAGTCACTGTTTGGCCCCCTTTCTAGAGGCTGTCTATACAGTTTCTGCTTAACTCCACAGTCTTTCTCTGACCCCTTGCAGGGCTCCTCTTCCTTTGGGGACCTCTTATATCTTGGTGATTCCAAGGCACTGACCAATAATCACTGCTTTCCTCATTGTGCTCACCCTTCCTGAGTTATTTCATCCACTCCCATTTTTTTTAATAGGTAAAAATGAGGTCAACAATTTATATTCAGAGGTCTACTAAATAAAAAACTCCAATCCTAAGCTCTCTGCAAAGGCTCAGATGTTCTTATCCCGTGGTTTACTGTGCATTTGTGCTGGGTGAAAAACAAATTTACCCTTAGTGGCCCCCAAGTAGACATATATGGCAAAGTCCTACCATCTTGTTATGATATCTGCATGTTGCTTTAAAATACTGTCTCATAGGTAGTACAGAAGTGTGTATATATATATATATATATATATATGTGAATATTTTAAAGACATTCACCAACCTTGCATAAATAGAATATAAGCATTTCATGAGATCTATAGGCTGTAACCTTTGGAATGGTGTTCTAAGCTGAAGTGTCCCGTGGGCCTGCAGACAGTCCAGATTCTTTGATACCGTATGATTAAAACAAATGCTAGCCAAAGGCTATCTCTGGAATGGCTTTATACTTGCCTCAGGTGAAGCTTTTCATGAAAAGTATTTTTGGAGCTAAAGGACAAAGAGCTGAGACTTTATCATTTTTTCTCATCATTGTTAAAGAACAGGTCGTATGACTGTGCTGTGCCTGTTTGCTAATTTGTGGCAGATTGTATTTGCCACAGCCAGCCAGCATAGGTTGTATCTTCCCCAGAAAGATGTGACCTTGTCATTCTCCCATTAAGATACAGGAGCCTCTTTCTTTACCCTGTTAAATCTGGAGAAGCCCTGTTGGCATTCTGGTGATAGAATATGGCAGAAATGACTCTGTGCCAGTTCTGGGCATAGCCCTTAACTGGCCTGGCCATTTCTGTTTCCAGTTGCTATGCTGTGGGAGGCCCAAGCCCCATGGAGAGAATATGCATAGGTGTTCTGGCCCTAGCTGAGCTCTTGGCCAAAGTGAGCATCAAAAACCAGCCATGTGAGTAGTCATCTTGGATATTTAGTTCAATCTATCCTCCAGAACCCCAACTGGAATGACTCCTGAAACTCCTCAAGAACAAACAATCCAGCTGAGATTGGTGATATCTCAGAATTGTAAGAGATAATCAAATTGTTTTCTTTTTTTTTTTTTTTTGAGACGGAGTTTCGCTCTTGTTACCCAGGCTGGAGTGCAATGACGCGATCTCAGCTCACCGCAACCTCCGCCTCCTGGGTTCAGGCAATTCTCCTGCCTCAGCCTCCTGAGTAGCTGGGATTACAGGCGCGAGCCACCATGCCCAGCTAATGTTTTTTGTATTTTTAGTAGAGACGGGGTTTCACCATGTTGACCAGTATGGTCTCGATCTCTTGACCTCGTGATCCACCCGCCTTGACCTCCCAAAGTGCTGGGATTACAGGCTTGAGCCACCGCGCCCGGCCAAATTGTTTTCAATCCATTAGGTCTTAGGGTGGTTTGTTATGAAAATAGCTAGCCAGAACACTAATAAATGTATGTCTGTGCTACCGTGTTTGATTTGTTTATAACCTGACATTGAAGTTTTAGGGAGGCTTAGCCCTACCTCTAAACATTCTTGACCACTGAGATATAACAAAAAGAATGTTAGAGTTGTACATGACCAAATTGACTTGGGTGGATAAGGTGTTTTCCCCAGTGCTAACACAGCAAAAATGCCAACGCCCATACCTCAAATATTAGGCCTGTGTGATGTGATTTGTGGAATAGCAGAACTGTGGCTTTAAATATGACCTTAGTCACTGGTACTGGCATGACTGAGAGTACAAAAGACAACAAGCCCATAGATTCATAATTCTTTTGTCCTAGTGGGCAAAATTTCCATATAAATTGCTAAGACAGTGCTTTTTTAAATGCATCTCCTTAAGATAACAACGAGACAGGGAGCTTTGTCAGCCAGTTACATCCTTATCTTTGCATTGCTCATTTGTTGCTTAAGAAGCGAGCCAAGCAGAAGCAACCTTGCATGAGTCCAAGTCAATATTCTCACCCATTCTTGAATCTGGACCAGGTGGCCTAATGCAATACATCCACCTGAACACTCCACAGGCATCTCAAATGCACTGTGTTCCAAACAGGCATGTCATATTTCCTTCTCAACATACAGCTATTATTATCTTCTCTATCTCAGTAGGTGTTAATCTCCTTCCACCTGTTCACCAGATTGTTCTTTCTACATCACTCGGCACTTCAAACAGTACTTGAGGCCAACTAATATGACTTCCTAAACAGTTTTTAGGAATCTCTCCCAAATGCTGTGTCAAGAGTCTGTTCTTGATGGTGGTTCTCTGGGATCTCCTGATTCACCTCCCTGCCTCCTCTCAACTAACACAGTAAGTTATCCATCATGTAAATCTGACCATGCCATTTCCTAGCCTTAAATCTGTTATCTTAAAGGCAGTACACTGGGATCCCTGCCCATCTCCCAGTCCTCATTTCTCACCACCCCTGTGGTCTGAACTTTCATGCCGTGTTTTTTTTTAACCTTTTTTTAGAATGCCTTTCCTGCTCACCAAGCTCATTCTTTCCTTAGTGCCTTTGCTCACACTCTTCTTTGCTTGGCATAGCTGCTCTCTGTGCCCTTTCTCACCCTCTCTGTCTTCATCTTGAATAGTTTCCATTCATTCCTTGAAATATTAGAGCTTTAAAAAGTCCTTATGCAGAGGCAACATCCCAGGTCAATTACTACAGAATTTATGTGAGTGAATTAAAAAATACAGGAATCAGAGTTTTAACAATCATTTTCCCAGGTGACTTTCATGGAAACTATGGCTGAGAACACTGCTTTAGAGTCAGTTTAATCATCCTCTCTCCAAGGATGCTTTATCTGATATGACACTCCTTTTCTCCCCAGATTGAAATGCTCTTTTATGATCCCATAATGTTCTGTAACATCTCTATTATTGCACATTCAACAGTGCGTTATAATGAGCTGTTTACAAGTTTGCCTTGCTAGAGGATATGAGCTCCTTTAGGGTAGGAGCTGTGGTTTCACTATAGTTTGTATTTTCAGCATTTAGTGTAGTGACTGGTAGGTACTAAATGTTCAGTAAGTCTTTATGAAAGAACAAATGAATAAGAGAACAACTAAGCTTAGGCTAATAAACATTTTCAGAATATCCATATATAAATAAGTGAATTGTCCTTCTGTGTCACTCCAGTGCTGTTCATTTATTTTTGTAAGTTCCAATGCACATAATAAATAGGGTTGGAATAACAATAGTGTTAGAATAAATAAAGTATGTTTTGTTAATTTTGGAATAAAGGTGATATGATTTGGATCTGTGTCCCCACCAAATCTGATGTCAAATTGTAATTCCCAATGTTGGAAGTGGGGCCTAGTGGGAGGTGATTGGATCATGGGGTGGACTTCTCCTGATCCTCTTGGTGCTGTCGTCCTTGCGATGGTGAATTCTCATGCAGTCTGGTCATTTACAAGTGTGTAGTACCTCCCCCCAGCTGTTCCTGCTTTTGCCATGTAAGACTCCTCCTTCCCCTTTGCCTTCCCACATGATTGTAAGTATCCTGAGGCCTCCCCAGAAGCTGAGTAGATGCCAGTATTATGCTTCTTGTGCAACCTGTAGAACTGTGAGCCAATTAAATTTCTTTTCTTTATAAGTTACCAAGTCTCAGGCATTTCTTTATTGCAATATGAGAACAGACTAATACAGAAGATTTTAATAAAGTTGTGCAAACACTGTGGGTTTTGAACAAGGTCCCCTTGAAAAGGTACTGACAGATCCAAGAATGGGACCCAAGCTAGTGAGCTGGCAATGGGAGGTAAGGTCCTGCATCACAGAGAGAAATAGAAAAGGGAAACATTTAGTATTTACTCAATATCTCTGTAGAAAAAAAAGTCTTTTATTTGCTATAGGTTGACAAGAGACTTCAAAGGGATGGGCTAGATAGAATATAAATGTGTACTTTCAAGAGTTGAAAATCGTATAAAAAGGACAATACTAATCTAGAGCAGAACATTGGTAAAATGAGAATGTTTGACAAACATATAAACCTGAAAAACCATACTTGAAACCACTTCAATTCACAACCCGTTTCTGAGCATCCACATTTCAAGTTTCTTTGAACTTCAACAAGGATGTCCGTGTGCCAAGAAACTTAGTTAATAATAATGGTAATGGGAACCATAACAGAATACATATTTTCAGCATCAGTTATGTGCCAGCTATTGTCCAAAGATCTTTATATGTGTATGTCATCTAGTCTTCCCAATAACATATGGTTAACTCCTTATCCTCACTTTTTTAAGATGAAGTGCCCAAGGCTTAGGGAAGGTAAGTCGTTTGGCCAAGGTTGGTGGAACTAGGATTTAAATGCATATTTTTTGAGTTTTAACACATTCTGCCTTCCTAATAGGTGAGATTAAACATATATATCAGTGATAAGGTTTAGATTGTGATATATACTATAAGAAATTTTAAAAGCCCATGAAAGATTATACTATAAAATTTTACTTCTAACCAAGGGTGCAGAAGCAGACATCATGGGGAAGATAATATTGGTTAATAAGTCTAATATGAGGAGTAGAATTTTTGCCATTGTTCTGAGTTGATTAACTTTCCTGAAATTTTTTCTTTAGAAAGTACTTATTATAGTCACATTCTGCATAAAGACATTTTGGTCAGTGATGGACCTCATAAATGATACACCCATAAGATTATAAAACCATATTTTTGCTGTACTTTTTCTATGTTTAAATGCACAAATACTTAGCATTGTGTTTCAATTGCCTACAGTATCCAGTATAGTAACATGCCATGTGGGTTTGTAGCCTAGGAGCAATAGGCTATACCAGGGGTCCCCAACTCCTGGGCCATTTACCAGTACCAGTCTGTGGCCTGTTAGGAACTGGGCCACACAGCAGGTGGTGAGCAGTGGGCAAGCTGCGTTACCGCCTGAGCTCTACTTCCTGTTTCAGATTAACGGCAGCATTAAATTCTTACAGGAATCCTAACCCTATTGTGAATTGTGCATGAGAGATCTAGGTTGCGCACTCCTTATGAGAATCTAACTAATGCCTGATGATCTGAGGTCAAACAGTTTCATACCGAGACCATTCCCATTCCCCACTATCATCCGTGGAAAAATTGTCTTCCATGAAACTGGTCCCTGGTGTCAAAAATTTGGGGACCGCTGGGCTATACCACATAGCCTAGGTGTGCAGGAGGCAATACCATCTGGATTTGTGTAAGTGAGCTCTATAATGTTTGCACCATAATAAAATTGCCTAATGATGCATTTCTCAGAATGTATCCCAGTCATTAAATGACACATAGCTGTATATTTGGATTTACAGAAGACTTGTGTGGGAGACCAGAATATGCCTTACCATAGCATGAAGGACTGTTGAGCTGAAGGCATTTAAGAAGAAATGATACAGCAGAGCTTTCCGCCCTCCCTCTGTTTGCCTAAAAGCTGGACATAGATTTATAAACACAAAATATATTCTGGCCCTACCCTTTGTTCCTCTCCCCAGCAAGAACAAAGGTTAACCACTGAAGACAGCTTTAGATCCTCATCTGCCTGGAGATGATACCAGAGGAATTTATATTAACAATCTTTACTCACTAGCCTTTATCTGCCATATATTTTCCTTTCCCCGTGTTACTATCCATAGAAACTGAAAGTTATTTTCCTTTGTGTTGTTACTTCTCTTAGAATTTACTATTCTTTGTTAAAAATGCTATATAATCCAGAATTCAAAGCCACCTCTTTGAGCATTACTCATTTTCTAGGTGTCTTCCATATGTATATGAAATATACATGTTAACAAACTTCTGTTTGTTTTTCTCTTGTTAATCTGTCTTTTGTAGCAGAAGTCTGTGTTCCAATCACAAATCTATGAGTGTTATTATTTTTCCCCTAAGCTTGCAAACAATACACATAGAATTTGTGTATATCCTTCACCCAATTTTCCCTCATATGAAGAATTTCCCCTTCATGTTACATATCCTTGGCACAACTAGAAAACTAATATTGGTACAATGCTATCACTAAACAATAGGTTTTATTCAAATTTCTCCCTTTTTCCACTAATGTTCTTTTTCTGTTCCAGGCTCCAAGGAATAGAATTTTATCAAAAGACAGAAGAGGAGGATATTTGAGAGGAGGGGAAGTACCTAATACTGAAAACTAATACAGTCCAGGATGCATGGAAGATGATCAGTAACACTTATTCAATCTAAACTACCCTATTAGATAGTGCAGAATTTTCTCTGCATTGCTGTTTTCTTTCCTGCAGTTAGCTCTGTCAGGTTGAACAGAAAGTGATCAATAAAGAGGAAAATAATTCATGTTGTTCCCTTGCTGCCTTGTTGTGTTGCCTACTGCACCACCAGTAATAGAAAATTAGGCCGTGAGCATTTCAGTGCTAATACACTCCAGTGGCTTTTCTGCCTTGGTCTTCCAGCTTTGGCCTCATTGCATCACACTAGTGATTAGAACAAATATGCCAGTCTGTGCTGTGTTTTCCCAAATAATTTTTTTATTTTGCAGGGTAGAAGGAACTAGGTGTGGAACCTGCTCTATAAAAAGGGATAAACAAAGGCATTTTCATCATGGGCCTTCCTTCTAAAAGGCTTTTCCAACAGCCTATTTTTGAAAATGAACAAATATCCATAAACCCATAGATCAATAGTACACTAGCATACATTTAAGGAGTATGTCTCCATTAAAAACAACTGTGTAAGAAACATGCACCTGAGTTTCTGGGGGAATATACATAATAGAAAATCTTAAACCTGGCCAAATTCTCCAAGTTAATCTTATTTGTTCTAATAGGATTTGATGCCATTTAACCATGCTCATCTACTTTTCCATCTTGTCCTATAGGTGGACTATCTATGTATATATTTTTAAAAGAGAGTCAGGAATAACTGATAGAAAATTTGTGGTAAGAACATTTAAGATCTCTCTTAGAAAATTTCAAGTAAAAACACAGTATTTTTAACTCCAGTCACCATGCTGTATATTAGATTTAGATCCCCAGAACTTACCCACCTTACTACTGAAAGTTTGAACACTTTGACCAACATTGCCCTATTTTCCCCATTCCCTTACCTCCTGGCAAACACCATGCTACATTCTATTTCTATTAGTTTACTTTTTTTAGGTTACCTATATAAGTGAGACCATACAGCATTTGTTTTTATGATTTTTTTCTTTAAAATAAAAGAGCTAATGGTATGATCTAAGGCAGAGGCAGGGCTGCAAGCTAGAGGTGCCCATGTGATCATGGACAATGGTGCACAGGTCACCACTCATCACTACTTCTCGTTATTGGTGGGACTGCAAACTGGCACATTTTTAGTGACATTACTCATAAGCACACTGTGGTTGTTTAAATTGGTAGGGATGATAATGAGAGTAACTTGTGGGTAATTAAGTCTCTCCTTTCCACCTGACAATTATGCAAACTAGAAGGAGATGAACAGCATAGTTATGTGTTGCTTCAACTAAGAAACATTTTATAAGAATTTTGAGTAATGTCGGTAGGTGATTAAAATGTTAAAGAGGAAAAAGTTAAAAACTGTTATGTTTTTTAAAAAGTTTTATTGAGGTATAATTTACATGCCATAAAGTTCACCCATGTTATACAGGTCAGTGAATTTTAGTATATTTACAGAGTTGTACAATCATTACAATCTAGTTTTAGAACATTTCCATTATTCAAAAAAAATCCTTTGTGTCCATTTATAGTTACTCCCTATTTCCACCTCCTGTCTAGGCAGCCACTAATCTACTTTCTGTCTCTATATACGTATTTGTCTTTCCAGGACATTTCATTTAAATAACATAACACAGTGGGTGTTCTCTTGTGTATGGCTTCTTTCACGAAGAATAATGTTTTTGATGTCCATCCATGGTGTATATCAGCACTTCATTTCTTTTCATTGCTGAGTAGTTCTCCATTCTGTGGCTAGACCACATTTTATCTGTTCACTCATTAATGGATATTGGAGTTATTTCCAGGTTTTGATCAACGTGAATAATACTCCCATGCATACTAGTGTGCAAGTTTTTGTGACATTTAAGAGTGAAATTGCTGGCCTGGCATGGTGGTTCATGCCTGTAATTCTAGCACTTTGGGGAGCTGAGGCAGGTGGATCACCTGAAGTCAGGAGTTTGAGACCAGCCTGGCCAACATGATGAAACCCCATCTCTACCAAAAATACAAAAATTAGGCATGGTGGCTCACGCCTACCAGCTACTTGGGAGGCTGAGATAGGAAAACCACTTGAACCCAGGAGGAGGAGATTGCAGTGAGCTGAGATCATGCCACTGCACGCTAGCCTGGGCAACAGAGTGAGACGCAGTCTCAAAAAAACAAAATGAAACAAACAAAAAAAAAGAGTGAAATTTCTAGATCATATGGTAAGTCAATGTTTAACTTTTTAAAGAAAATTGATAAGCTGTTTTCTGAAATGGCTGTGCTATTTTATATTCTCACCGGCAACGTATGAGTTTCTAGTTTCTCCTCATCTACAGCAAGACCTATTATTTGGTGGCTTTTTATTACGCTTATCTTAGTGGGTTTAAAAAAAAAAAAGGTGTCTCATTGTGGTTTGATTTTGTACTTCTCTAATGAATAATGATGTGGAGTATATTTTCATGTGACAATTGGCTTATTGGTATAGTTTATTGGTATAGGTTATTTGGTTAAATATCTGTTCAACTCCTTTACCCATTTTTAAATAGGGTTATTTGCTTATTCCTTCTACTTTTTACCTCCAGGATGGAAGCACTATCTCAAATTTTAAGGTTATTATTCCTTTGCATTAAAAAAATTTCCACCATGTATTTCTAAATAACATATTGTTTTGTTTTGCTTCTTTTTGAACTTTATAAAAAATGGATTTATACTGTATGGAGTCTTCAACATAAAATCCTGAGTGTCTTCCTATATTAAGTTTTCATGTTGGGCAAAAACAATTGTTTTCCAACAATGGTACTATGATATTTAAAGCAGAAGTTGTCTTTGAGAAAAAAAAAAGATTACAAATGGGAACACAGAGCTGCTGATTCTTGCCTTTTGGAATATTGTAATGGAGTTATTTTAAGTGGGGTATAAGAACTACAAAAAGGTTTCTTAGAATGTATGAACATCAACTATTATGCTCGTTTGATATTAGAGCGTAAAGGTATTTGCCTCTAGGTAGTTTTATCCTACAGATTTTTATTTTTCAGTTTGTGAGACTAATTTTTCTAGCTTTCATGTCTCTTCCTTACCTGGAATCTGTTAATTACATCTCTTATTCATTTTACTGCTTTCAACATGCTGTTTCTTATCTGATACTGTGATAAGGATTAGACTGAATAGGCTCTGATTAGGAGTCTGAGGGATTCCCTCTGGGATAAGTTAATGAGCTTTACCACATGGACTTTGTGACATTTATTTTGGTTGCAGAGGTCTATTTTTGTTTCCTTCCTTGTTCTCAACTTTTACTGAGCAGAATTGTAGGAGTATGGACTTGAAAACAAACAGATTTGGTTTTGAGCCCTTGCTCTGTCATTTGATTGTGTTTTTTAAAGAATAAATCACTCCATTAAAAACATTTTCTAAATGAGGCTAGGAAGGTATTGATCACAGTATGACATAAAATAGGATGATATATTTAAAGCACTCAATAAATTATAAATATTATTATCTTTTTAATATATAAAAAGCCTTAACCTCAAACTCTTAAATTGCTCTTTGGTAACATCTGAGAATAGGCAAAATAAGAAGAGTTTAGACAATAAAATACAAAAATTAGTCTCATGAGCTGAAAAAAAATCCCTGTAGTATAGAACTACCTGTAGACAAACTGTACTTCTTAGGTATATAATGCTTATTAGACAGGACACGGGAGGCAAAACTGAGAATAAATATTGGATTGGTTGGAAGTGGTGGCAGTAGGCATGGTGATAGGAAGAAAGAACACCAGCAAAGTTAGATAAGAAAAAACTTCCACATTCCTGGTGAGCAAGTTAATGTCAGAAGTTATACCATCAAGAAAAAGAAGCCCTGTAGGGGGGCTTAAATATAACATAGCTCAGAGTTCTCAAATTTGATCACCACCAAGACTTTCTTTTATTACTTTTCCCTCCATCAACTCTGTTGAATAAATCGGTTTACCAAGAGAGCTGATCTGTCAGTGAATTAATAAGTAATGTGCCTGGGAGAACAGAATCTGGTGAGGAGAAGGATTTCTTTTTCTCATTTTCCTCTCCAGATAATCAATAGGGGATGAGTCTGGGACAGCAGAGACCATGAGATAGAGAGGTTAAGAGGAGGTGGACTCTTAGTTCTCAGTTTGGCCAAGGTTTATGGGCTTTCTCTGAGCCTTATGTAGAGACACCATTATTTTTCCTTCTGTGCTGAATTGAGTTCAGCATAAGTGCAGTAAAACTATAGGCTTCATTAGCGCAAGGGTCTTGCAGCATTGGAAAGTCAGGAAGACAACTTCATGGGCTTGGTAGCCAATCCCCAGAAGGTACCTAGAGCTGTGGTACTGTATTTATGATGGATTTGCAGACAGCAGACACCATCTAAAAGATAGGAGGGGAAGAATACAGTTTTACTGTTTTGTGAACATTTGCGTAACTTCCCAGGGATTCTCAGAAGTGGCTATGGGAAATATGATTAAGGATGTAGCTGATAATTGTGCAGATGAGGGTAATCAGATACATTTTGGTTTAAGTCATGATATATGGTCACTCAAATCCATAGAGATGTAAGAGCTAAAGATTTTTGAATTATGTAAATAATTTATTTTTTCAAATGTATTAATCTAGGACAAACGTAATTATAATTATGCAATTATAATTAAATTCTTTAGAAATATGTTATTTTAGTTAGCATACACATGCCATTCATGCATGAGTCTCTGGTAAGGCATAGATCCTTTCTATTCCATTCTAGAATAGCTGTGTGTTAAAGAAGATAACTCAGAACCATGAGTGGATTGTACAGCAGTCAGCTATGCTTGTAGCCAGTTTTGCCCACCTCATCTCTAAAGATAAAATACTTCAGTTTTTTGGGTGGAATTGGTGAAGAGACAGATGTCTAAGGTTTGTGGCAGAATGTCATTTTGGTAATTAATGGGGAAAGCAAAGACCCATGGCTTCCTTACCACTAAGTAAAAAGCCACAGTACAGACCTAGGGAGAAGAAAGATCTAGCATGGTGGCAGGTTGGAGCGGACAGGGTGGAGGCTGTAGCAACTAGCTGAGGGAGCATTTATGGGCCTAGTTATTTGAACAAATGTGAACTTGAAAGAGCCAGTCCTTCAAAATGGAACCAACCAGTCAGAGCTTGCCTGTCTCAGCCAATCAGGTTTTGGCTCTATCAATCAATCAATCAGGGCTCAGCTGTATTGACCAATCAGAACTCAGCTGTGTCAGCCAATCAGAAAAAAAGGAAGTTTGAATATTTACATAAAGGGACCTGCTCAGGGAAGGGAAGCTGGGCTGAAACTTTTGCTATAAGACACAAACTCTTTCTTTGTTCTCTGGAATCACCTTTATTTTACACCTAAGGCTATGTCTCACCAGACTGCAAACTGTTCACTGAAATAAAGTCTCTTTCCTTCAAATTTATTTTCAGATAACTTTTGTTC